AAGAAGACGTGGACCAAATGCGATGACCAGTTCCAGCACCACATCGAGGACCATGGGCTAATTTTTAGGTTTACTTTACGTTAGATTTAGGAAGCAAGAGAGGTTGTACTAGGCTAAAGTTTTTAAGTAGAATAAGGTAGAGGGCAATTGTACTAATTAGTTTAGTTAATTAGCATTGTAGAATGTTAGACTTTTAGGTTTTAGATTTTTAAGTTTAGGATTTTAAGTATTAAGGTTATTAGGTTTACTTTACGTTAGATTTAGGAAGCAAGAGAGGTTGTAGTAGGCTTAAGTTTAAGTAGAATAAGGTAGAGGGCAATTGTACTAATTAGGTTAGTCAATTAGCATTGTAGACTAGGACTAGCTGTAAGTTAGTTTAGGTAACAAGAGAAGATGTATTAGATTTAGGTCTAAACTTAGGGGTAATGTGCCCACAGTAGGTTAAGGTAGATTAAGGTAGGTTAAGTCAGTGATGTCAGCTTTCACAGAGTGTAAAACACTCTAAAGATGTTAGAATTAAGATTCGTAGATAAGTTAGCAGTAAGAAATTTGTAAAAATTTGTCTGAAATAAATAATGTTCAAGGCAGGTGTAACCGAAACGTTTAGCTTCTTTTAAAGCTAATCAAAAGAGTGCATTAAAAGGGTTATTGGGGACCGATTGGAAACTTAACGGTTTAATTAAATTTAATCAACTGAAAACCTGGAAACTTTGCCCAGCAGTCCAAGTGTGTAAAACTGTTATCCAGGCCAAAACGTACAGTGTCTTAATCGCATAAATTCGTTGATTTTCAATAAGAAAATACGGTTGTATGAGGCAAAACTCCTTGCAAAGGTGCGTTGCAGCAGCAAACAAAATCATCGCAGTGGACGGAATAACATTGACGGTGCCTATCCGACAGCGCGGACTATTCTATTCGGCTAGTTCATGGCATAAACTGAAGCAGGCAGTTTATATCGTATCGAAAAAATTACCTGACGTATGAGTTTTTGGTGAGTTTAGTGAAAACGTGCGGTTGGTGACGGAATTTGCAGAAGTCAGCAAACTGAAAGGCAAGTAGCAGGGAATTTGAACAGGTTTACCAACAGTCTTCCTAGGCTTTAGATTTAAATCAAACAGAAAACACTTGTGCACACATCCTGGGCCACATTGATAGTAAATTCCAGAAAATTCAAAAAATTATTGGTAAAATCAGATAGTGATATTTACTTGAATTCCAACGACAATTTACTGACGAAATGATTTATAGAAGCCTTAAACTAATGGAAGTTTCCCTACACATAGAGCTTCTGGCTCCAACTGGATCTGGCTATCTGAGTGTTCACGCATTGCCGGGCCCGATATAAATAGTTAAGTGTTTATTACACTGAAATTGATTGATTATAATTCATTTCAATTACCGTAACGTAGCTTCGACCGCATCGGACCGCTGATTTATATTTGCTCTCAACATTTCGGTTCATCCGTCTTGAGAAAGTTATTGAACTTATTTTATTAAGCGCTTTTTCCATACTGTTGATGAGCAAGCAAACTGATCACTATTATTGTTTTTCCTTCAACAAATCATTTGGATTCAAGTGAATTTCAAACCCTCACACTCACAAAGTTTGGATTATTTTTCATTTAATTATCATTATCGATTTAATTGTGTTGTTATCTTTGTTTTTGAGGTTTGGCTTCAATTCGTCGTTATTGGGTTAATGGGTTAATGGGTGATTCAACCAAGTTGACAATTTTCCACATTTGACTCACAAATTGAATTTACTCACAGGAAAAGTTATTATCTTCTTTACGTTTCGACAGCGCGATTGACCCGCATCTTCAGAGATTATTGTGCAAAGATTTACAAGAGTTAAACTTTGAGCGATAATGTAAGTATTTCGCAAGTAAAAAAAACTTTTCTTTTGAGTGGACAATGGGAAGCTGAATTTGTTCCTGCGTATTTTTTAGTTTTTTCGGGTTTTACTTAAAAAAACAATTTAAATTAAGCAGTTTCAGCGAAAAAAAATCTATCCAAAAAACACACAAAGTTTGTGGAAAATCGCAATTTTCAGGCTAAATTTCGAGCGGTGTTGCCAATCCGAGCAAAACATTTTAAGCTCATAAAAATTCCTTCGATATCTAGCATGTAGATTTATACAATTTGGGTAGGTTTGCATTATTTAGGTCTTTTACGTAAGGTTAAGAAGCTGAATTTGTCCCTCAAAATTTTCAGCTTTTTCTTTTTCAAAAAACACGTTAAATGAAGCAGTTTCACTGAAAAAAAAATCCTAGATGGTCCATAAATTAACCCAAAAAACACTCACAAATGTTGAGGAAAATCTCCGTTTTCAGAACGTTTTAAGTTCATGAAAATTGATCCCTTGGATACCTGGCATGTAGATTCGTTCAATTTGGGTCGATTTAGATTATTTAGGTCTTTTAAGTAAGGTTAAGAAGCTGAATTTGTCCCTCCGAATTTTCAGTATTGTTTCGTTTTACTAAATAACCTACTTTAAATTAACCAAAAAAACACTGACAAAGTTTGAGGAAAATCGCCATTTTCAGGCCAAATTTCGAGCGGTGTTGCTAAACTGCGCAAAACGTTTTAAGTACATGAAAATTGATTCCCTGGATACCTAGCATGTAGATTTATTCACTTTGGGTCGGTTTAGATAATTTTTGTCTATTTTTTAATTTTATTAAGAAAAATCACTTCCACCATGCTAACACAACAACCTCATAATTAACCGAAAAGGAAATAACGCTAAAATACGTGGCAACACCGCATCGTGTCCGAAAGTGACAAATAGTCCGCCAGCTGACTATCTACGCGCTAGATAACCTAAATCAATGGGCCACGTTGGAAAAGATGCCCAAACATTTATTATGCATCTTGGCGACAATTTTGCATGTAGATTTATAAACTGTTGATTCATAAAACACGATTAAGCAGCAAATATCAGCAACCAATCTCTTTTTTGTGTATAAATAAAATTTCAATTTCGAAAGTCGCGAATTTCAAAAGTTTTTTGGTCAGGACATGCTGGCATTTTTTCCGCTTAAACTGCTTAAGTTGAAGTGTTTTTTAAGGAAAAAACAAAAAATTTGTAGGGACTTAAACGAAACGATCACCTGTCTTGCTTACTGTCCATCAGAATTATGAAAATTTTTCAAAATATTCATTAATAACTTCAATGCCATTTTGTCCTAAAACACTTTTAAAGTTTCATGGCAAAAGTGAACTTTAAAATAAACCGTTTCAGTTTGCATCCCTTTTTAATCCTAATTTAATTAGCTCGAGTTGAGTTAACTAATTCATTTGTCCGCCCTGTATACGTGGCTTGATTATTTGCAGATCTTTTAAAAGCACTTCGTATATTAGACATTTTTATGGTCCAAACATCTGGTTTCAATAAAAAAATAGAATAAATACAATTTAACAGCAAAAGTTTTAATCGACCATTTAATGCAATTTTTTATGTTTATTCATCGTTTCTCGATTTTATCGATCGTTTTTATAATCATTTCTTTATTACTTTTTAAATCCTCCAACACTTGCATTCAAAAATAAAACAAATTGTCTGAATTAAAAAATATATAGCTTTAAAAGCCTTTTGCTGTTTTGCCTTTTTGTATCTCAATTTATGTCTTTCTTATAAAAGTTTATAGAAAATGGTTTAAACATTTTTACACGTTGTAAGTGAATACTAAACGAGCTCGGTGATCGTGTCGTTTGAATTGTAGGATTTTCAATTTTTTCCTTAAAGAACACGTCAAATTATGCAGTTTTAGCGAAAACAATTTCTGGATGGTCCATAAATTAAGCCTAAAAAACGTTTACAAAGTTTGGAAACTCGCTTTTCCAAAATCACTTATTTATGCACGAAAATCAGATTATTCGGTGCTGCTAAATCCTGTTTTAGGTGTCAACAATTCATCGCCACATGCAAAATTGTCGATGAGATGCATAATAATTATGGTTTGTCGCTTTCGCAAGAGGTTGAACATCTTTTCTAACGTCGCTCGTTAATTGAGGTTATTTATCTAGCGCGTCGATAGTCAGTTGGAGGATTATTTGTCTCTTTCGGAAATTCAACACATTGCGGTGTTGCCACGTAGTTTTGCGTTGTTTTCCTTTCGGTTACTTTTGAGTTAGTTTATGTTTGCATGGTCCAAGTGATTTTTTTAATGAAACCAACAAATATATAGAAAGTAAAAATTAATAATCTGGAAAGGCCGAAATAATCTAAACCGAATTTTGTACTTTTTAAATCCTCACTTGCATTCAAAAATAAAACAAAGTGTCGCCGCTCGAAATTTTGCCGGAAAATGGTGATTTTCCTCAATCTTTGTGAGTGTTTTTTGGCTTAATTTATGGAGCATCCAGGAAGTTTTTTCGTTGTTTAATTTAAAGAGTTCTTTAAAGTAAGAGATGAAAAAACTAAAAATTCGGAAGGGCTCAAGCGACCCAAACATGCTCAATAGTTTGTTACCTTTTTAGACTGAAAAAGAACACTGCACAACTGAAAAGACAATTTTAAAACAATTAAAAACAGTTTTTCAAAAAAACTGAATATAGTTAACCAAATAACAGAAAAAGGAACAAATTGTGATGAGCGAGTGGGTTGAGAAAATTGATTCATATTTTCCGTTAAATTGGAAAGACTAATCACGTTACAGAAAAAGTTAAAATTTTAATTTTTCCTACCGATTTCAGTCTATTAGTTCCCATCACTTTCGTGCCGGAAAGTTTCATTTACCTGGAGAAAATTTGAGAATTAATTTTAAATATTTACTGTGTGTTTCAGTTCGAAGAATTCTTGATGCTCTCTTTCAAAAGGAAAGCATTTTTAGCTGCGCATGTGAGTGTCTATTTACAGGGTGTTTTTCAATTTTCAAAGTTCAAGTTGATTATCTTCTACAATTTGTCTTCCTCTCTGTCCGCTGTACTTTGCATATTGAAATCATAAGGAACATGTGTAATATGAAAAGCAGAGAAGTGAAATAAAGTCGCGACAAAAATAGAATTTCAAGTCCCATGAAGGAAACAAAAAGAAAAACAACTTATTAAAATTGAAATATTGCTCTTAGCGACTTGCCTATATTTCATTCAATAAGCATCACGGAAACTCATCGGGTAAAATGTTAATAAATAAATCAAAATCCCTTTCTATTTTTTGAACTTTTGGCGCCTGATTCCATTCAGATTAACATGTAATTAAAACAACTTTGTTTTTTTTAAGGAAAAACAGTAAGTTTTAAAAATAGATTGGTTTCTCGTTTGAAAATCTACATATCTATTTCCAATGTAAAACAAAAAATAGCTGTATTTCTATAAACTTTTGTTATAAAGTTGCAAGTTCAGGCGGAAGAAAGGCCAATTTGAAGCCAGAATTAGGGACACTTTTGTGCGCCACGTGGACGGAAAAACCATGTTTCAGAAAACTTGGTTCCACCATTTTCCCATCTGTTTTCACAGTAGGTTATCGAGTCAATGTTACAAGTTTTGAGAAAATTAATAGGCAAATGCCGCTGCTTGAGGCGCCCGTCCTTTAAAAAATGTTACGTATTTGTATATTTTTAAACATTGCCTAATACCTGCCTAATTAAGTTCAGGTGAGTCATTGCGTGAATTAGGAATTAATGAACACCATTAACAATTACCACTTAAGTGTCAACAAACACTGAATACCTACGACAAACATGTAAGTTGGTGCTGATCAAAGCATCAATGTGTTTAGAATGAACGATTAGCGCCTAACTTGCGAACGCAGAATGCATACTCAAACCTCTTCTTGATCTATTTTCAGTCGATCGCCTGCTGTTTTCGTTGTGTATAAATATTGCTGATTCTGTTCAGATCGGCCATGTAGGTAGCAACTGGGATTAAATTCAAGTCAATCAATTGCCCGCAAATAAATACGCTCGTTACTATTTTTAACATTTCTGAAACTGTTTGGGCACTTTCACTGCCAGAGCCAGCATGTGGACGCACGCAAATATAAATCAGATAATTAAACGTGGCAAATAAAAACAACAAAACATTGAGCGAAAGAAAAATGTCCACTGTCTCAAAATAGGATTGGATTATGATGGAAATATGTATGTTGTTTCTAACGCTCCTCAGTCGGCTATTTGCGGCCACTAAACGAAAGTCTGGGGATTTTAAACCTTAAGAACCTGAGTACGTATTTTTGTCAAATATGGAAATAAATTTGTCTTGTAAAATTCCTCTCGTAAGCCAGTATCCCAAATATCCAAGTAGCCAAAGATTTCGGCTAGAAAATAAAGTTAGCTTTTTGCAAAGCGATAGCGTTTGACTACGTGACGATGTTGGCGTGTGAAATCTTAAATTTGCTAACATTTTCGGCAATTTTTTATTGATAAAACCAGTGCAGTCCTGTTAGGACGCCCCGATTTATGTCACCAGAAATTCACGGAAACGGCGTTTTTACTAATTACATGCCTAACAATGTAGATTTGCAGATTTTACAGGTAATATATAATTTAGCATAAAAGTCTGTAAAAATCCACACACTTCATAGTCCTTCGATAAAGCAGATTATATAAAAAAATGCGAACTATTAAGCGTTATCTTGAGTGGCGATAAAATAAACGGCCGATTACCCCACCTGCGCATTTTTGGATAAGGCAACGCTAGACAATCAACACGTTTTTTTTTCAATTATCCACTCTTCAGATACCGCTATAAACATTCCTCAAAGCAAATCCAATTGCGCAAAGAAACACCTGAAAGTTCCGGCGTCTTCAGATCTTCAGATGTATGAAATGGGCCAATAAGTAGAAGTGGCTGTTCTCAGTTCCTTCGGAATATTCACTACTATTACTGTCATAAAATTATGAGAGAGTCAACATGAGATTACAGACCCGCCATATGGCTGAACTGGAGAATTTCATAAATCGAAAGATTTTCGATTAAATCAATCTTTTTCGGTTCATCGACTAGTCGAACACCTTCGGTGGCTGTTACCAAATTCTATGATTTCATAAACACCAATTAACTGAAGGCAATAAAACCGGCTTCAAAGCTTCTTCTTGCAAATGGCAAAGTTCTTTAACGGGCTTCTACAAGGTGTCTCATAGGAGATTGTAAAAAATTTAACGGCGGGTTTCTGGGGTCAAAATTATATCTACGATTTAGCCCAACTTAGCTTGGGAGGAAAGTCGAAGCAAACAGAAACACTGGGGTTCTAAGTATTTTTTAATGGTCTTTTTCTAATAGCTCAGGCGCAACTGGGAATTTTTTGCTCAAATCAGATTTATTGAATATCTTATATTCAGGGGTTTTCGAGGGTAAACATTTTTGAAAAGAAAATTAAAAACTAGTTTTTCTTTGGGCACGACACTGGTTGAGATTAATAGAGAGGAAATCAAGTGAAAAACAGTGTTTTCTACGCTCCAACCAGTTATGCCCGAGGGGCTCTGCACAACTTTACAGCAAACAGTTTCCTCGGTTTACTTTGCAAAAAAATACTCTTCGCGTAGATTGATGCAAAAGTTGTGCCGACATTGATTGAGATTAATGCAAAGAAAATTAAGTGAAAAACAGTGTTTTCTAAGCTTCAACTAGTGTCGTGCCCGAAGGTCTCGGCACAATTTTACAACAAACACTTTTCTCAGTTTACTTTGCAAAAAAATACTTTTCGCGTAGTTTGATATAAAAGTTGTGCTGAGCCCTTGGTGCACGACATTGGTTAAGATTAATCAAGAGAAAATTGAGTGAAAACAGCATTTTCCACTCTCCAGCCAGTGTCGTGTCCGAAGGGCTCGGTACAACTTCACTGCATACACTTTTCTGGGTTTACTTTTGCAAAAAAATACTCTCCGCGTAGCTTGATGTTAAAGTTGTGCCGAGCCCGTCGGTCACGACACTGGTTGAGTTTAATAAAGAGCAAATTAAGTGAAAAACAGCATTTCCCACGCTCCAACCAGTGTCGTGCCTAAGGGGCTCGGCACAACTTCACAGCAAACGCTTTTCTTGGTTTACTTTGCAAAAAATAACTCTCCGCGTAGTTTGATGTAAAAGTTGTGCTGAGCCCTTTGGGCACGACACTGGGCAAGATTTATCAATAATAAATTGAGTAAATAACGGCGTTTTCCACGCTCCAGACAGTGTCGTGTCCGAATGGCTCGGTACAACTTTACAACAAACAAATTTCTCGGTTTACTTTGCATACAGATGCTCTCAACGTAGTCGAATGTAAAAGTTGTTCTCCACCCTTTTGGCTCAATTAAAACCAAATTAAGTCAAAATAACAGTTTTTCCACCGGAGTGTCGTGTTCCAAGACATGCTGGTCCTGCTAAATCATACTGAGACTGGAATATCTACAAATCTTTCAATATTTTCCAATCAAAAAATGTTTACCTAGTGGAAATCTAGTTGATCTCTGAAATCCACGGTTTTCGAGTTATTTTTATTAATAATATTCGTTGCGTTGCATTTATGGAAACAAATCTGTCTATTTATAGACGAAATAATAGAGGGCAAAAGTAATTTCCTGAACACTACGAAAAATAAGTGAATAATTGTAATAAAAAAACTGATCAGCTTTCGCCCAAAGTTGTCGAAAATGATAACGTGCATAATTAACTTCAATAGATTTAATCACACGTTTGCAACACGATTTTCTAATTTTAAATATTTATTCCCAAATCTCCACATAATTTGTAATGTTTTTAAATACATAATTCGTCTCGGGCATCTATCGTTTCTGTATACACGAAAGACTTAAGGTGTCAGCAAACAGAAAAATCTAGAGGATTAAAATCTGGACTTCGACCTGGTGTGTGACTTCCCCGACTAATAAAACCATTCGGACTATTTGCATTTAGGTAATTTTTCATTTGCCGTGAAAAATGGGCTGCAGACCCATCGTGCGTAATTATCAGATCACGTCTTATGTTTAAGTTCGTGTCCGTAAAGATCAGATTAATGTTGTAATAATGTTAATGTAATAATTAATTAAATGTATCGCACCCAATACTTTAATGGCAAATATCTCAAAAACGATTGATCTTAAGGATACCGACTAGGTTTGCTGCAGCTGGCAAAAAAAAAACGAGTTCTTCAAGAGTTACTTGAAAAAGACCATTAAAAAAGTGACTTTGACCCCGTGCATTTCTGTTTCAGTTGACTTTTCTTCCAAGCTAGTAGCGCTAAACCGCATTATTTTTACCAGAGAAATTCAAATATGTTGTTGGCTTTTTAAAGACCTTTCATCGATGTTCCATTCTAAATCCACTTGCAATCTACAAAATGCTCGATTGGACATGCCGCGTGTGTTGACCTCGCTACTACACGCTGGTGTAACAGGAAACAAGCAAAATATTAATCTACATTGTTGAACAATGTGATGGCAAAGGAATTTTTTACGGCCCGATGACCGCGGATGTTGACACACTTCTTAATGAATAATATTGTTTAAACCGATGATGTAATTCGTAATGTTGGCGATATGTCACCGTTGCATGTTTGCGGTTTTAATAAATGTTTGCCAGTTCAAATTGGGGTTATTTTGTGTCAATTTCCGCTAATTGGCCTACGAAAATATTCAAGCACACCAGACCCAGATTGCATGAAGTGGCATTTGACATCGAATTACAACCAATTTATGAATATGGCCTTTAATTAAGTGGCATGCAAAGTCCACGATAATAATTGTTCCCATTGCTCTCAGTAACATTCCGCTACCTCCAAATAACCATTCAGTCTCATCGAGTGCCAGCCTTGATATCAACTGTTGTTAATTTCCAGATCGAAAATACTATGTGAACATATGAGCAGTGAGGAGAAAAATACAATGTGTCCAACTACCCCCATAGTTCAGGCGGCGTCCTCTCAGCTGACATGCAGAACAACCGCGAGCAACAACAACATCCAGCAGAACGATGAAGCAACGAATTATGAAAAATTCGGCGGTCCGAATGATGTGTTTAGTGAGAAGGACAACGACATCAGTCGAACAATTAAAAAGCTAGACGAAGAAACCAAAGAAAATAGTAAACTAAGGCGAGAAATCGAGCAGTTTCGGCCATCAATCAAATGGCCCGATCTGATAGTGCAGCTGTTTATTCATTTAGGGTGTTTGTATGGACTGTTCTTATGTGTGTGGTCAGCGAAGTTGTTTACGTTACTATTCGGTAAGTGAATTTTCCATTGGGTTTAGTTAGTCATTTTTATTTTTGCGTCGTTCGGCCTTCAGTTCTTTAGGCCATTAACGGCCAAGTCCCCCATTTATATGCCATTCTCCCACAACTTAATCTACGTGACGACGCCTAAGGGGAGGTTTGGTGTTTTATGCGCCTCAATTATACTGGGAAACTACCACTAAAATATCTAATTGGAACGCGATGGCAATCGGATTATTTTTATGAATATTTTGCTCAGTTTTATTAAGTTCCGTTTTTTAAATTACTTTTTTTATTTGTCCTGTTAAATTTTGCATTTATTTGAGTGTTATAAACTATGAAAGTAGTTCTTAGTGACTTACTCTTCTCTAGATTTTTAATTGAATAATTGGCTTTTCTAGAAGAATAATTAATTAGTTCAACATCTAAGAGTATTTTGCCGATTTGATGCATCCACTCCATAAATTGTCCGGCATAATCGGTAAGGGGAGAAAACCTTCTTAAATCTAAAAATTGCTTTATTTTTTGTAACAATTCTAGTTATAATAATAATCCTGACTAGTTAATGTTGCTGTCTATATGAAGCAACGCAGTTGGCAATTTGGGTTTAATTTTATTGCATTTATTCCAGGTCTCTGTGTCTTATTTATTTACTTCTAATTAATCAAAAATATTTGTTCTTGTGACCCTTATTTGCTCAGCCAGCTTTTATCTAGCTAAACCTGATTTCGGTGCAGAATTAGATTTGGCAACTTTTCCATTATTTGCAGTAAAGATTGTTTAGAAATAAACTCAAAATACTATGAAAACATGACAGCTTCACACACAACAATCACTTCTAGAAGCCGTAACCATATAACTGGCTTTATTTTCCATTGATCTAACAAGGAACAAAAATAGCACTTGACCTAAATGCATTTTCGACTTAAAATTGACCAAAAAACAGGACCTTAAGCTGTACGTATCGAGTCGCGGAACATGCGGTATATTGCACAAAATCTACGGCTTTTAGTGTGATTTTTTGCACAATCTTTGCGCGTTCAGGACAAGCAGAAATGGTTTTCAGGATATTATATGTTTAACAATTGAGTTAAAATAAAGTTTTTGTCAGTGGTTGAAATATTTTGTCTATAGATTGGTTCACCCTGTGTGTAACTGAAATATTCTTCTAGCTTGCAAGTGCAAAGGTTTAAAAAATTGAATATTAGTTGATTTGTTAGAAATAATTCTGTTTTTTATGATTTTCTTTTAAAGTAATCGAATTCAGTTTTTATGTTCGCTAGGAGCTTTCTTCTGTGTTTAAAAATTAAGCGTATTCTTCAAATAAACATTTGTCCTAAATAGAACACTCTGTATAGTTTAACCTCGCAAACAAATTATTTCGGTTTTCAGCAGTTTTTCAAAGAACACAAGTATTTACGATCAATTTGGAAATATCCAAATCGCTCCTAAATAAATTTAAATAAGAAAAGATGTTTGATGGTAACTCGCAGATGGAAAATTAAAAAAAAAACAGATTTTCAATTCTTCAGTTTTTTAGGTGTTTCTTCGAAAGTAATATTCAAAATTTAAATTTATTTTGTCTTGTGCCTTACTTCTAGGATACAAAATTTAGCAGATTGTCTTATACAAGCTTCAAATACACATATGGATAAACCAAACATTGTATATTTTAATATGAAAAATAAATTATTTACAATTTGCAGCATTTTTTTATATTATTAAATTACTTATGATCGATTTGTTGGACCCCGAATAGCTTCGAAACAATTTCAAATAAGAAACCATGTTTTATAGCAAAATGTTTGTCAATGTTTTATTGTAAAATTATGAAATTTATAAATGTGTGCGCAAAAGCATCTAACAGTGATATACGTAGTTAACAGCTAAATCCTTTTTATTTGTTCCTAAATGTTAATTTCAACTATGTAAATTGATCAGGTTTTATCTAACAATTTGTATTTGTATTGTTCCATTTTATTTACATCGATTAATCTTTTAGAATTGACCATGTATGCTTCCATAAAACAAATTGGGTACTTTAGACTGAAAACCTTTATATGTAACGATCTATTTGCGATTAGAAACATTTCCAAATAAAATAAAGGGAATAATGAAAATTTCCCTAGTTATGTTTTGTTTTGCTATTAATATGCAATTTTTCAAACATTTTATGGAATTATTTCTATAGTAGCGTGACCCGCGCAATTAATTTTCTTTAACAAATATTCCGACCAGAAAAGTATCAGCATGTAAATCCGATATTTGAAGCGTCCAGTGAATTGACAAAGCGCAAATTTTAAAACGATTATTAATTCTTGCACTTAAATTTATCACAAAAACATTTGAAGAAAACGATGTTGCCATCCTATAACTAGTCGCAGACGTTTTCTCTCATATTCTGCTCATAAAAATATTTAGAATTGTGGAATTAAACTTGTAGGGATCGTTGTGGGCAATAATCCAGACATTAGAATAACTAATTACATACCTGGAAGTATCGCATCAGCCAAAAATGCTTAAATGCGTGATATCAGCTGCAAGCATTCGACCATTTATTCAAATTCGCGATAACGAATAAATTCAGTCACTCCTCAAAGAGAAAAATCCAAAAAACTCCAAATCATCTCAGGAAAATCCCGAACAAACCGCAGTTAAAGATAAAGAGTTACTGAATAATCCTCCCATTGCTTCTGGGCAAGGGCCAAAACGTAAACAATTTTTCCCATCAAAACCTGTTCAAGCCGCATTATGAATCGATGTTTATTTAAAATCCCACTAAAGATTGCAAAATTTACTATTGAATATTCCTTTATTTCACATTGCTTTACAGGGTGATTCAAAGTCATAAGATCAGTTGTTCAAAGAGAAAAGTTTGATCATTTCCTATTATGTTTTATGTGTATTCAGCACTCACTACTGAAACTCATCCATTTATTTCAATTGTACTGTTTATTTTCTCAATAAAATTTAAATTTAGAAACGCAGTCAAACTGAGTAGAAACCATTCTAAACACTTGACCTACATCCATTCAGGCACTCGATCTACGTGCATGATAAATAAACTTGTGATATCGCATTTTGAAAGTAAAGTAGAGGCAACAAAAATGGATAAGGCGCAGAATTGAAAAAAAATCCAGCACGATAAGAACCGAGTAATAGGAAAGATGAGTTAAAGGGATTCAAAAAATACACTTCAGCTCTTTTTTATATTGTTATTACCAAAGAAAAACGATTTCAAATCTGGCCAGTTGCAAGGCTTTTACTGCAATTCAAGGAACCTACCATTAAAATATATAAATGGAAGAAGACTAAGTCGGATTATTTTTATTAAAATTTTGGTCACTTTTATTTCGTTTCGTTCTGAGAATGATTTTTTATTTAATTTGTACGTTTTTGTTTCGTTATATATATATATTTTAACTTTGTCTAATTTTTTTACTTTTGACTACTGCTCAGTTTTTTGCTCATCTCTCATACTCACATTCAAGATATGTTACTAATTGCTTTTTCCATTGGAGGCGTTTGTTTTTTGCTCCTTCTGATTAAGTTTAATTAGTGCAAAATTATCTACACTTACTATGTTTTTTAATTAACCTTTTCAATTAATGAGGAATTTTCTCACTTAGACATTTAAAATTCAAGTAACTTAGATATTAGCGAAATTCAATTGAGCTAATTTGGTATCGTAATATCAATAATTCTTGGTAATTTGCAAAATTTTCTTCCAGCTTCCTTTGAACATGGGAAGTAGTGTCTACTTTAATTTTACTATTCACTGTGTTATAAACCACGAAAGTATAAGAAATTCTACTTTATCCTGGTGACTTATTCTTCTCTAGATTTTCAATTTAATGATTAACTTCTCGAGAAGAATACCTAAGTAATCAGTTCAAGAACTAAGAGTATTTTGCCGATTTGATGCATCCAGTCCATACATTTTGCGGCATAATAGTTCAGGGGCAAAAACCTTCTTAAATCGAAAAATTGCTTTAATTTATATAATAATTATAGCTATAATAATAATCCTGACTAGTTCATGTTGCCGCATAAAGGAAGCAGCGCAATTAGCAATTTGAGTTTAATTTTATTGCATTATTTCCGGGGTCTCTGTGTCTTATTTATTTACTTACGTATTAATTAACCAAAAGTATTTGTTCTTGTGACCCTTATTGGTCAGCCAGCTTCTATCTAGCTAAACCTGAGATATTTGGAAATTTCAGTGCAGAATTTGATTTTTGGCAACTTTTTCATTATTTGCTGGGAAGATTTAGAAAAAAACTCAAAATCCTATAAAAATATCACAGCTTCACACTCAACAATCACTTTTAGAAGCCTCAACCATAAAACTGCTTTATTTTAAACCGATCTTACAACAAGCAAAAATAGCACTTGACTTAAATGCATTTGCGACTTAAAATTGACCGAAAAACACGTTATTAAGCTGTGCGCATCGAGTCACGGAACATGCTGTATATTGCACAAAATTTAAGGCCTTTGGTGTGATTTTCGCACAATCTTTGCGCCTTCAGGACAAGCAAAAATGGTTTTCAGGATATTTTTATGTTTAATATTTGAGTTTAAAAAGGGTTTTTGTCAGTGGTTGAAATACTTTGTCTATAGATTGGTTCACCCTGTGTGTAACTGAAATATTCTTCTAGCTTGCAAATGCAAAGGTTTAAAAATTGAACATTAGTTGATTTTTTAGAAATAATTCTGTTTTTTATGGTTTTCTTTTAAAGTAATCGAATTTAGTTTTTATTTTCGCTAGGAGCTTTCTTCTGTGTTTAAAAATTAAGCATATTCTTCAAATAAACGTATTGAAAGTAGTGTAGTTTGAACACTCTGTATAGTTTAACCACGCAAACAAATTATTTGCGGTTTTCAGCAGTTTTTCAAAGAACACAATTGTTTATTATGAATTTGCAAAGATCCAAATCGCTCCTAAATAAATTTACATAAGAAAAGCTGTTTGATGGTTGCAGGTGGAAAATTTTAAAGAATTACCGGATCTTCGGGCAATTGTTCCGTTTTTTTAGGTGTTTCTTCGAACGTAATATTCAAATTTGAGATTTATTTTGCCTTGTGGCTTACTTATAGGATACTAAATTTAGCAGATTGTCTTACACAAGCTTCAAATACACATATGGACTAAACCGAACACTCTGTATATTTTCATGTCAAAAATAAATGATTTGCAATTTTCAGCAGTTTTTTATATTATTAAATTATTTATGATCGATTTGTTGGACCGCAAACAGCTTCTAAACAATTTCAAATAAGAAACCATGTTTTATAGCAAAATGTTTATAAATGTTTTATTGTAAAGTTATGAAATTTATAAATGTGTGCGCAAAAGCATCTAACAATCATATAAGTAGTTAACAGAAAAATCCTACTTTTTTGTTCCCAAATAATAATTTCAATTATGTAAATTGATCAGGTTTTATTTAACAATTTGTATTTGTATTGTTTTATTTTATTTAAATCGGTTAATCTTTTAGAATTGCCCATGTATGCTTCCATAAAACAAATTGGGTACTTTATACTGAAAACCTTTATATGTAACGATCTATTTGCTATTAGAAACATTTCCAAATAAAATTAGATGAATAATGAAAATTGACCTATTTATATTTTTTTTGCTATTACTATACAATTTTTAAATATTTTATGGAACTCTTTCTATAGTAGAGTGAGCCTCGTAATTTTCTTTATCAAATATTCCGACCAGAAAAGTATCAGCATGTGAATCCGATGTTTGAAGTGTCCAGTGAATTGCCAAAGCGCAAATTTTAAAACGACTATTAATTGTTATTCTTGCACCTAAATTTATCACAAAAACATTTGAACAAAACTATTTTTGCCATGTTTTATCTAGCAGCAGGTGTATTATCTAATATTCTTACTATAAAAATATTTAGCATTGCGGAATTAAACTTCTAGGGATCGTTGAGGGCAATAATACAGACATTTGAAGAACTAATTACATACCTGGAAGTATCGCATCAGCCAAAAATGCTTAAATGCGTGATATGAGATGCAAGCATTCGACCATTTAGCCAAATTCGCGATAACGAATAAATTCAGTCACGCCTCAAAGAGAAAAGTCCAAAAACCCCAAATCATCTACCGGAAAATCCCGAACAAACCGCACTTAAAGGTAAAGAGTTACTGAATAATCCTCCCATTGCTTCTGGGCAAGGGCCAAAACGTAAACAATTTTTTTCAGCAAAACCTGTCCAAGTCTTCCTTTAGTTATTACTTTAGTTATTACTTTAGCGTATTCCTTTAGTTCACATTGATTTACAGGGTGATTCAAAGTCATACTATGAGTTGTTCAAAGAGAAAAGTTTGATCATTTCCTATTATTTTTTATGTGTATTCAGCACGCACTACTGAAACGCATCCATTTTCAAATGTACTCTTTATAAAATTTAAATTCAGAACAACAGTCAATACGTGCCTGATCGATAAATAATCCTCGTGATAACGCGTCTGGAAAACAAAGTAGAGACAACAAAAATGGATAAAGCGCAGAATAGAAAAAAATCGGGCACAATAAGAACCGAGTAATAGAGTGATAAAGGGATTCAAAATATACACTTCAGCTGTTTTTTACGTTATAATTACCAAAGAAGAACAGTTTCAGCAATTTACTTAAGCTGTGTAAAGTAGTCAATCTGGCCATTCTCGAGGCTTTTACTGCAATTCAAGTTCACATTAAAGATCTGTTTTGCATGTATAAGGAGCAATTAAAACAAATTTTCTATCCCTGTTTTTATCAGGTGTGCAAAGTGAAAATGTAATATAAACCAAACCCACATTTAAAAAAATTGTATAATAAAATGATGAAGGATGACAAAATATTCAAACTATTTCATCTTGAGTTGAGATGCTGTTGCGCTTTCGCTCTGTGCAGTTGAAAAAAATAACGATTTCCCAACCTTTCAAATAGTTACAAGCCCCGTTCAGTTCATTGCAAATCTATACCAAAACATTCGAATTGACCATGTGTCCTAGATTGCTGGGTTTTATTGGTAAAGTTTACTGTTTGTCTGTTTGCTGTCAGTGGCGACTCGTCCGTTTTAAACCGATCTTGTGCTAATTGACCAGAATACGAAGCAAAATGTGCCTACAATTCAGAAAAAAATGCGTAAATTTAGGTTCAGCAGGATTGAAACAAGCTGCTTCTATGTACTAACTGTAGCAAAATCCTTCTCATAGACGACAATATGTATACTTTTAAACTAAAGCAATTTTGGTTTGAAGCCACTTTAAAAACAGGGCAAAAGTTGCCCAAAAATACTTATTGTTAAACTTCCGAAAACATTGAAATTTACTTCGCCCAGAACCAAGTGAAGTCTTTGCTCACTTTATTTAAATTTCATTCAGATTCTTGATATATTAGCAAAATTTCAAGCAAAATCGGTTCAATTGACGAATGAAATCATAGAATAAACTCCAAAAATTACGGTTTTAATTGATGAGTTTAAATTTTTGAGAAACTAGTTTTTAACTGAAATTCCAGTAACTAAAGAGAATAAAACTCACGTAATTGAGACATTGCATGAACGATTAATTAGCCATGTTAATAAAATTCAATTTATTCCATATTGGTTATATGAACTGAATGCATTTATGCATTTTTAAAAGTTAAAATTTTCCCGTAATTACGGCGTTAAAATTGTATTTAGTGTGTGGTGGCTTTTCTATTTTACCTCTTGAGATTAGAAAACCATAAAAACACCATAAACTGGCTCTGGTCACAATATCAATTTTCGTCTCATTTTTTTCTCGTAATAATTGCAAATATGTATTCATCTAGAATCGAACTATAAAGTTATTTTTTCCAAAAAATCCTCAGAAGTCTTTGATTAATGTAAACTTTGCTGCTGAAAATAAGATGAGAGTCAGCTGGAACACCATCAATCACAATTTGTGGTCGGTTTTACAAGGAAAATTACTATTTTTTTAAAATCCTGCATGTTAAGCTGGTTGCGAGTTGAATTAAACGCGCTCGAATATTAAAATTTGATCTTTATTTGAATTTTATTTATGAACTGGTGCGAAACAAGTTTATATGCATTAATTCATTAATTGCAAATTAGAAAATTTAGATCGGGTTCTAAATGCCTTGTGGTATTGAATTTCCAGCGTAAAAAAATAAAAACTTTATTGAAATGAAAACTTTTACAAGCAGAATTTAGGGGCAACAGAGTTTTTTTGCTTTTATATTATGTCTTCTCCTACTCAGCTTAACAACTTGCTGTGGCTGTTTCGCAAATTATACTCGGGTATTCTCTATTATTTGGAGTGTGAGCTTAATAGATAATATTATCAAGACAATACCTTTAAAATTATCGACCGAAAATGATCAGCAATTTGCACTGAAAAGAGTTTTTACGTACAAATCGCGTTTACGCCTGGTGTGGTTATTTTTCTGCGTCTCTGTTTACACAGGATGTTTAAGGCTTCTACCCAATAATAAATATATTAGGCGCTGTTGCTTTGAACCCTGCGGACACGACATTGTTTCAGAATGAACAATTGCAATCAAGAGGTCAGTTTTCACGCAAATGAGTTCTAAACAGCTGATTCTTGTACTGATAGTTTTTCAACATCTTTGGACTTCTCCTATAAAGAAAATTTGAGTTTTTTTGAGTGCTTAGACAAGACAGTCTTGCTGAGGAAAGCATAATTGGAACTTAAAAGTTCCAATTATAAAAGCACCAGTAAACTTTCTTGAAAATATTTATATGTATAACAGGATGAATGAAAGTGCAATTTACACTCTATTGCGTAATTTTTTTGAGCGGTTATTAGAGCCCCATCTGCCCCAACTCGAAAAAACGTTAATCCTCCATAATTTTTCCAAACAAATTTTAGTCAATAGAGACCCAAATTATTTCCACTAATTCTCCTAATTTCTTTCAGCATTCCTTACTGTAATCGCATCAGGGTTTGGCATAACTGCCGGGGCTCATAGACTGTGGTCCCATCGAGCTTACAAAGCGAAATGGCCCCTCAGGATGCTTCTAGTCTTCTTATTTACCATAGCTGGACAGGTATGTGGCTAACTCTGTGTTTTCTATGACTCATGGCAACAAATAAACGAAAAAATATGAATAATTTATAAAACACCCAGTTCTACTGAATAGGTTGCATATAAAGGCCCTCGATAAGATCGGCTTTTTTAGGGTCAGTGGATGTCAAGCCGAACAAAGCTTTATGAGAAAGCGACGGCTTGGGCTGGGTTAGTTCTATAACAAAAAACAACAATAAGCACTCAAACCGCATGCAAAAAGGCTTTTGTTGCTTGTTTTCCCTCATTAATTTCCACTTTATTTCTTTCAAATAAATTAGACCACCCTCTAAATTGACTCATTTATTTCCTCGATCGGAATCGCAGGGTTTAATGGTTGGCTTGAATGTTATATTTACCATTATTATGACCAATGCGTTTGCCGTGTTTGAAAATCGATCCTAGACGGGCATTTCCCAGAATTTAATTTGTGGCCGAGGGCTTTTTTTCTCCGAACCATTTCCATCGAATTATGCCAAACATGTAAGGACCTTGGTCTAAATAGAATTTCTAATGGTGGCAAATATTTATTATTTACGCCCCTCGCTTTGGTAAATTACAAACAACGGTGGGTAAGTGATTGTTTAACAAACGACTAACTGAAATCAGATCGATCCATGAGGATGTAAACAAGACTGGTAATCGGATAAGCGAGCTTGTTTTTACAAAATTGCAGCTAATAGATGTTGTAAAACATGCCTGGGATTAGGTTAATGGATGCTGTGAAATGTTTAATATCTGTTGTTTTTGGTTCAACATATAAGAAAGGAATATTTTCCGTCCATTGGATGGATGGAAAATAAACGTCGTCGCTCAATTTGCAGGCACGCCTCGCAAATTATCTGCCTTCCAAGTCTGAGCTCGTAAGTAACTGAAGTTCACCCACCCTATAGAAGACAATTTAGGCTAAGAAATCGAGAATTTCTAGTAAAATTGTGCAAAAAGCTGACTTTTGCGAAATCTGTTAAGGATGGGTTGCAGATAAATATTGTCGCTCCATTGCACGCTCGCCCTTAAAAATTTCTAACTTTCAGAAGTGAGCCAGTAACTAAGTGAAATTTGCACACCCTATAGAAGAGGCTTTAAGCTAAGAATCTTGCAATTTTTCAGGAAATTAAGCAAAATACTGATTTGTACGAAATCTGTAAGTATTGCAAGCGACAGTGTTTATTTGCCATTCAATAACACGCACGCATTTAAAAAAGTTCGCTATGAATCCTCAGCTCATAATTAAATGAAATGAAAAATGGCCTACCCTATAGAAGGCAAATCAACCTAAGAAGCGGGTGATCTTCGATAAAATTGATTAATAGACTGATTTTTGCCAAATCTGTTAATAATGAGCGCAAAATAACCTTTGTTGCTCAATTACACGCAAATATTTAAAAAAATTGCTCTGATACCTGAGCTCATAATTAAATCAAACTCACCCACGCTATAGATGGCAATTCAAGCTAACAATGCGGTAATTTTCAACAAAATTCTGCAAAAAGGCAGATTTTTGCCAAATGTGTTACTTAATGATAAGCGCAAATTAAACACTGCCGCTCAATAACACGCACGCATTTAAAAAAAAGAATTCTGAGCTCATCATTAACATATTAAAACGGCAATTCGGACTAAAAATCCTGAAAGTTTGAATAGAATTCAGCAAAAGACTGTTTTTTGCCAAATCTGATAAAGATGGATGGCAAATAAATATAGTCGCTCAATTGCACGCACACACTTAAAAATTTCAAAGTTTTAAGCTTGATCAAGTAACTTTTTAACAATTCGCACACCCTATAGAAGACGTCTCACGCTAAAATTTCTGAAATTTTCTATAAACTCTAGCGAAAGACTGAGTTTTTTCCAATCTGTTAAAGATTCATGGCAAATAAATATAGTCGCTCAATTGCACGCACTCCCTTTTGAAACATTTCTAAGCTTCAAACTTGAGCAAGTGACTAACTGAAATGCGCACACCCTATAGAAGACGCCTGAAGCTAAAAATCCTGAAATTTGCGATAAAGTCTAGCAAAAGACTGAGTTTTTCTAAATCTGTTAAAGATAGATGGCAAATAAATATAGTCGTTCAAGTGCAGGCACGCCCTTTTTTCTAAAATTTCTAACTTTCAATCCTGGTAAAATAACTGACGGAAATTCGTACACCCTATAGAAGACGCCTCAGGCTAAAAATCCTAAAATTTTCAATAAAATTTATCTCAAGACTGATTTTTGCCAAATTTGTTAAAAAGGGATGGCAAATAAATATAGTCTCTCAATTACACGCACGCATAAAAAAAAATGACTTTCAATCTTCAGCCCAAAACCAACTGCTCTATAGACGGCTATTCAGGCTCAGAATCTGGTAATTTTCAATAAAATTGGCGAAAAAACTGATTTTTGCCAAATCTGTTAATGATGAACGTAAAATAAACACTGTCTCTCAATTGCACTGACGCATTTTAAAAAATTTCACCTTGAATCCGGAGCTTATAAATAACTGAAAATTTTCCACTAATATAGAAAGTAATTCAGGCAAAGAATCTGATACCTTTCAATAAAATTATGCAAAAGACTGATTTTCGCCAAACCTGTTAATGAGAAGCGCAAAATAACTAAACATGGTCCCTCAATTACACGAACGCATTAAAATTAAAAATTTACTGAAATTGGCCCACCCTATAGAAGGCAATTTGCGCTAGGAACCTAGTAATTTTCAATGAAATTTTTCAAAAGACTGATTTTTTGTAAACCTGTTAATGATGAGCGCAACTTAAACATTGTCCGTCAATTACACACATCCATTTAATTTTTTTTTTAGTTTCGATCCTGAGCTCAGAATTAACTTAATAGAAGTTAAAGTTAAGCATTAACCCTATAGAAGAAAATTCAGGGTAAACATCTGTTAATTTTCAATTAAATTATGCAAGACTGATTTTCGCAAAACCCGTTAATGATGAGCGCAAAATAAACATTGTCGCTCAATTACACTCATGCATGTAAATTTTTTTACTTTCAATCCTGAGCTCAGAATTAACTAAAATTAGGCCACCTTATAGACGCCAATTCAGGCCAAGAATCTGGTAATTTTCAATAAAATTGGACAAAAATTTGTTAAATATTCGCACAAGATAAACATTGTGGCTCAATTACACGGATGCATTTAAAAAGTTCTAATTTTCTAAAGTCTGGTTTTTGCCAAATCTGTTAATATTGAGCAGAAAATATTGTCGCTCAATTACACGCACGCTTTTAAAAATTTCCAACTTTCAAGCCTTAGCACTAAACTAACTGAAATTCATACACCCTGCAGGAGATACTTCCAGCCAAAAAGTCTGCAATTTTCATCGAACTTTTGCTAATGACCGATTTTTGCCAAATTTCTGATTGAGAGGCCGAAAAAAAAACATTGTCGCTCAAATACACCCATGCCTTTAAAAATTAGTAACTTTCAATGCTGTGCACAAAACCAACTGAAAGTCGCACACTCTGTAGAAGAGACTTCAGGCAAAAAGCCTGCAGTTGTTTTAGGTATATTTGAAATGATCTGGTTGTATTCTTACGCCGCCCAGTGTTGCCTGCTTGTCGCGTACTGGCTGTTTATGACCTTAAGCAGTTGCCATCCTGCCTTCAACTTTGCAATTTTAACCATGAACTTCAGATCAATATTTGCTTTTTGAGGGTCTCGAAAAGAAAATCGATTCACGGGCAAGTTTTAATTTAGATTTTTTTTCAGAGGCATATTTACGTTTGGGCTCTGGACCATCGCGTCCATCACAAGTACAGTGAAACCGATGCCGATCCTCACAACGCAAAAAGAGGCTTTTTCTTCTCGCATGTGGGTTGGCTGGTTCTCACTCCTCATCCACTGGTGGTGGAGAAACGGAAAATGGTCGACATGTCCGACTTGGAGAATGACTCAATAGTCATGTGGCAAAAAAAGTAAGTCACCAGTTTACTCATTGAATGCTTATCACTTTACTTAAAAAATTGCTCAACGATTGTTAGCTCCAAAAATATTTTTGTTGGCTGGAATTGCCTGGACGTAAGCGGGATTCAAATCTACTTAAAAGTCAATGTTTGATTCCTGGTTGACCTGAAGGACTGGAAAAGCTTGTCTGAGCAACTATGGAAAAGACCGAAGGCTTTTGAAGAAAATTGTGCTAAAGAAATGCCACTAATTGTTGAAGAAAATAAAAAAGATAATGAACAACGAAACGTAGGCGATGAAGAGCGAAGCGCATAAATAATTGAATATATGGAAAATTATGTCACGAAAGCAAACAGTTCAAACGAGAAAAATATTCTGGCTTCATTAGAAATTTAAAGAATGACACATCATGTGTCTGAATGAGTCCTTACTATTTTTTTCCTCCCCTTGATTATCGGATGTAGCTTTGGATGATCAAGTTTGCGCCCAGAGAGCTGGAATCCTATCAAAAGAAACGTTCCAAATCCAGTCCAATCGACCACTTAAATCGAGGAAATTCTGTATTTGGATGAAGTAGAAGAAATAATTTTACGCTTGAGAATAAACCTTGGAAACAGTAAGAATTCTCAAGAACCCACTAATTAAACGTATACTAATTACTACGTGTAATTAGCAGATGTAGCAGTTATCAGACATAAATATAGACCTAATTTCTCCGAACAACCAACTTGTCTGTCATCAGATCTAATAATTTTTAATTTCATTGGAAAAAACCAATTGGGTTTTTTTAATTGAAATAGAAGCTTCATACGCTTGCACCAACTTATTCTCTTCCTCTCCTCCTTTCTTCTTCTGTTTTGATAAACATTATGTCCTCCAGCATTTCTGTTACTGCTTTCCAGCATGCTTGGTTTTTGGTTAAAATTTCGCTGATGTTTTGCTTGTTTATTCTGGTGTTGCATTTTTTTCC